TTATTCTACTAGTTGCTCTTCTGATCGAGTCCTATAGATCTTGCAAGCTTTCTTTGATCTTTTTTATTCTCTTCTAACTGTATTATTTCAAAGTTCCTGTACTCTTAGTCATTTATTCTGTTTTCCATATGCTCCACTCTACTACAGATACTTTCTGTAGTATTCTTCATCTCATCCATTGATTCCTTAGCTCCAGAATTTGTTTGGTCCTTCTTAAAAATTATTTCTACAGTAAAAAGTTCATTTTGTTCATGTATTTTCCTTCCTAATATCATTGAACTGAGTTTTCTTGTAGTTCATTGAGTTTCTTCAAAAGAGCTATTCTAAATTATCAGCTAGATTGCAGTATTCTGTGGCTTTGAGCTTGGTTGTTGAATTATTGCTATCTTTCGAGGGTGACTAATTTTCTTGATTTTTCATGTTCCTTGTATTAATGTGTTTTTTCTTATTTAAAGTAGCAGACATGTCCTTAAATTGTTATGGTTGCCTTCAGATGGTGTTGCTGTATCAGAGGTTTCCCCAGCTTTTAAATGGGCAGAGCTGCTACACTCTACTTACTCCCTCTTGCGACAGAATTCTTGACTTCTTCTGTTTGTGGTTTCTTCCGTACCCACAGACCCTGGTCTGCTTTTCTGAGAATATTCTGATTACTGGACCCACTCTTACTGCCACACTCAGGACAATGCACGAGGACCCAGCCACACTGTGGGAGGACGTGTGGGTTTAATGCTTGGGGTGTTAGCACCCTTGGGCCCTGGGGGGAAATCCTTGAGTGGGATGCTCCCAGAGGCTTGTGGGCAGATACTTGCTGAAGTCCTGAAGCAGTCAATGGGAGCCACATTCCTTTAACTCCCTTTGATTTACTTATGCTTTCCTCACTTTCTCTTTCTTCCCCTCAGTACTCTGGTTGCTGCTGGCGAGAAATGGATTTCTCCAGGTGCCAGCTCACACAAGTGGGATAGCCCGGCCCTCAGTCACTGCTTTCCACCTCCTCTGCACGAGAGGCTGCCGCCATGCACAGCTTAGCCTTTGCAGCGAGGTGCTGGCCATGTAGCTACCAACAGAGAACGTTCCCTTCTTCTGTCTACTATAAAGTCACCAACACACTCCATCACTTACTTTTAAGAAAAATTTAATTGTGATAAGAAGCACATAACAGGGAGTCTCCTATCTTCATGCTGTGTAAGTGTGCAGTGCAGAGGTCTTAAGCACATTCATATTGTTGGGCAGCCAATCTCCACAGCTCTTTCATCTTGCAAAAATGAAACGCCGTACCCATTAAACAACAACTCCATTTCCTCCTTCCCCAGCAGTCATCGTTCTACTTTCTCTCTCTGTGCAGTCATACAGTATTTGTCCTTTTTTTAAAATATTTTGGTATCATTAATCTACAATTACATGAGGAACATTATGTTTACTAGACTCCCCCCATCACCAAGGTCCCCCACATAGCCAATTGGAGTCACTGTCCATCAGGGTAATAAGATGCTGTAGAATCACGACCAGTCCTCTTGGTGCTGTACAGCCCTCCCCGTACCCCCGCACCCCCACATTATGCATGCTAATTGTAATGCCCCTTCTCCTCCCCCCCACCTTATCCCTCCCTTCCCCCCCATCCTCCCTGGTCCCTTTCCCTTTGGTAACTGTTAGTCCATTCTTGGGTTCTGTGATTCTGCTGCTGTTTTGCTCCTTCAATTTTTCCTTTGTTCTTATACTCCACAGATGAGTGAAATCATTTGGAATTTATCTTTCTCTGCCTGACTTATTTCACTGAGCATAATACCCTCTAGCTCCATCCATGCTGTTGCAAATGGTAGGATTTGTTTTCTTCTTATGGCTGATTCCATTGTGTATATGTATTACATCTTCTTTATCCATTCATCTACTGATGGACACTTAGGTTGCTTCCATTTCTTGGCTATTGTAAATAGTGCTGCGATAAACATAGGGGTGCATCTGACTTTTTCAAACTGGGCTGCTGCATTCTTAGGGTAAATTCCTAGGAGTGGAATTCCTGGGTCAAATGGTATTTCTATTTTGAGTTTTTTGAGGAATTTCCATATAGCTTTCCACAATGGTTGAACTAATTTACATTCCCACCAGCAGTGTAGGAGGGTTCCCCTTTCCCCACAACCTCGCCAACATTTTTTGTTGTTTGTCTTTTGGATGGTGGCCATCCTTACTGGTGTGAGGTGATATCACATTGTGGTTTTAATTTGCATTTCTCTGATGAAAGATCTGGAGCATCTTTTCATGTGTCTGTTGGCCATCTGAATTTCTTCTTTGGAGAACTATCTGTTCAGCTCCTCTGCCCATTATTTAATTGGGTTATTTGCTTTTTGTTTGTTGAGGTGCATGAGCTCTTTACATATTTTGGATGTCAACCCTTTATCGGATCTGTCATTTATGAATATATTCTCCCACACTGTAGGATGCCTTTTTATTCTATTGATGTTGTCCTTTGCTGTACAGCTTTTCAGTTTGATGTAGTCCCACTTCTTCATTTTTGCTTTTGTTTCCCTTGCCTGGGGAGATATGTTCGTGAAGAAGTCGCTCATGTTTATGTCCAAGAGACTTTTGCCTATGTTTTTTTCTAAGAGTTTTATGGTTTCAAGGCTTACATTCAGGTCTTTGATCCATTTCGAATTTACTTTTGTATATGAGGTTAGACTATGATCCAGTTTCATTCTCTTACATGTAGCTGTCCAGTTTTGCCAACACCAGCTGTTGAAGAGGCTGTCATTTCCCCATTGTATGTCCATGGCTCCTTCATCATATATTGACTGTATATGTTTGGGTTAATATCTGGACTCTCTATTCTGTTCCACTGGTCTGTGGCTCTGTTCTTGTGCCTGTACCAAATTGTGTTGATTACTGTGGCTTTGTAGTAGAGCTTGAAGTTGGGAAGCGAGATCCCCAACTGCTTTATTCTTCCTTCTCAGGATTGCTTTGGCTATTCAGGGTCTTTTATGGTTCCATATGAATTTTAAAACTATTTGTTCCAGTTCGTTGAAGAATGCTGCTGGTATTTAGATAGGCATTGCATTGAATCTGTAGATTGCTTTAGGCAGGATGGCCATTTTGACAATATTAATTCTTCCTAGCCAGGAGCATGGGATGAGTTTCCATTTGTTAGTGTCCTTTTTAATTTCTCTTAAGAATGTTTTGTAGTTTTCAGGGTATAGGTCTTTCACTTCCTTGGTTAGGTTTTTATTCTTTTTGATGCAATTGTGAATGGAACTGTTTTCCCGATTTCTCTTTCTGTTAGTTTATCGTTAGTGTATAAGAAAGCAACAGATTTCTGTGTATTAATTTTGTATCCTGCAACTTTGCTGAATTCAGATATTAGTTCTAGTAGTTTTGGAATGGAGACTTTAGGGTTTTTTATGTACAATATCATGTCATCTGCAAATATAGTGACAGTTTGACTTCTTCTTTACCATTCTGGATACCTTGTATTTCTTTGTTTTTTTCTGATTGCTGTGGCTAGGACCTCCAGTACTATGTCGAAAAACAGTGGGGAGAGTGGGCGTCCATCAGTTACTTTTTACCAAAAATTTAATAACATTAAAAAGAAGAAAACTTTTTTGTTTAAATACTAATTAAATACCCATTATAGATTTTCATTTATGAACAAAGAGCAGTTTAAAAGAAAAAATGGCAGTTTCCAAGGTACCATTTACCCACAATTATTTTTTAAATATTCTATAATCATAAAAGAGCATATTAAATAATAATGTATATGGAAATTATGAAAGTGATAGTCAACTTTCACCTTCACTTCTAAAGAACAAGAAAAATGCTCTAGAAAAATAACTAATGACTACAGGAAAAATGACAGTATCCTAATAGAGACTTGAGTGTTTTATTTTAAGAAAGATCTTTATTTTGACCCAGTTAACAAAAAGGAGCTTTCAATATAAGAGTTCTTCACTTTTCCCTTTTACATTAAGGGAATAAATATGGTCATGCTTGTATGAGAAGACATTGAAATATTTGGGAAAATGTAGGGGGTGACACTTCAAACAGAAACCCAGGCTTAGTTTGTTTTTCTATATAGTGGTTCTTTTGTTACTGCTTATATAAGCATTATATATGGGAAAGTAGCTTTTTAAAATCTAGTAAAAAGTGGTAGAAATTTTTCGCAATTTTTCTTAAGCAATGCTTTCATATTAGAAAAAATATCTTCCTCTAATAGTTCTAAATTGATCACAATTTATTTAATAATCATTTCATATTATAGACTTAAATGTTGAAATTCATTTTAGCAAACTGTAATCCGTACTAGTATAAAATGAGATTTATATATATATGTCTTAGCATGAAATATAGGTGGTGTAGAAATTACTGTTAATGATTTTCACTTTTAAAAATGAATTTTAGAGAAATATATTTCTATCAAACTTGAGGACACATTCACAGTTAAAAGAAATGTAATTTAACTGAAATTTTTAATGTTACTAAAAGAAAATGCAGAATATAAATTAAAATGTATTTTAACAGTTGTAAATATAATTATTAAATATAAAGATGTTAGCTCTGGTACATAAGAAAATACTTACAACTAATAAAAAAGTGGATTGTAGAATATACATGTTCTATGTATAAAAATAAGTAAAATATTTTATAGTCCAAAGGATATTTTCTAAGCCAGGTTATCCATGCAACTCTATTATAATACCGTCTCATTAGCATTACTGGAGCACAAAGAAGCATGGAAGAAATCTAACAATAATCTTGATTTAAAGCTCATATTGCAACTTTAGCGCCTGTACATCTTGTAAAGTAAAATGTTCATTTGGTGTGTCTGAGAGGTCATCAAAGAGCTGTTCAATTTGCTCCTTTTGGCTCTTGCTAATTAGTGTCAACATCATCTAAATGGAAGAAGGACAAAAACTGTATCAGCATAAAAAATTACCATTTTAAAGTTATAGAAACCTAAAAAAAAAATCTCTATTAAGGTATTTTACCACTTACCTTAAACCTTTCTGCTTTGCTCAGATAGAAAAGATGCTGATACACCAATGAGAGATCTTTACCGATAAGATTGTTTTTCAGACACTGAATGAGGAGGAGGAATATATCGCCTTCAAGTTTGTTACTCAACAACATTGGCAAATCTTTTGGTTCAGTGATGGCTAAAAGGTGTGCACAGGCTTCTTTATCTTTCCTAGTACTGAGAGCATTTATAACCTGACCAAATTCACAGGCATTGTTAGGCTTAGTGATCAGTAGCTTTCATGGTGTTCCGGTGGTGCATCGCTTGGGTCTCCCTCTTCAGGAGCAAGGCTGGCTGTGGCGACCTCCTCTGAGGTCCTTGCGGGCTCCTCTTCTTGGCCTGCACTCACCTTCATGGGGGAAAAAATCATACTGTCACAAACAGCCGCCACTGCATGCATCTCAAGTTACATTTATTAAAATGGGAAGGAAGTGCCAAGTTTTAAGTGAAAATCATAAAATCTATTTTGTTTAAGAAGAGAAGTTTTAAGGTTTAAGTGTCTATTCATGAAAGTATTCTTACAGTTTAGGAAAACTTACGACAGTGAAAATGTGACCATTTGATTTTCATAATTTTCCATAAAGCTACTGTATAAAAGAAAACCTATAACAACTTTTTTTCATGATAAATTTTAAATTTACTTATGTCCTTACATTTAAGAGAGAAGTGAACTTAAATTTTCCAATGTTAATTCCTCCTTAGAAGGAAAAAACTTCCTAGTTTCTCTCACATACCAGCCTCTTAGTGTAAGTGTAAGATAAGTGGGATGATATTAGCATTCATGAATACACAAGAATTCATGAATAAACTACAGGCAAAGCGGAAAGCTAAGGCATAAGACAATTATCTGAACTCACAAAGGGGGGTTTGATTCTGGGGTAGTCCAAGATCTCTGATGAGGCAGACCAGGCTTATTTCAGAGTGCTAAAAAAGACCTGAATCAATCTGGGAAATCTCCATGGGGTATAGCTAGAAGGGCTGCTGAATCAGTCCTGTCAGGAGTCTTCAGGTCTACCCAGATACAAAGCTCACTGGCCACAGGCTTCCAGAGCAATCTGGAGTGGAAGTAAGACAAGCCACAGGTAAGAAGGGGTACGGGGCAAAGAAAGGAAGCACCTCCATGGTGCAGGCTCCTGATACCATTCATGGGCGCAGACTGGGAAAGACAATGACTGATCATCACAACAAAGGAAACATTCTGTCTGGTTAAAATTTCTAAATTGTGCATGAGAATAAAAACCAAAAATTTTTAAAGATTTTGTAGAACTCAGAGGTATGACTTCAGAATCCACTATGATTCCCAAAAACAGTACTGTCAAAGATAACCAAATACAATACCTCTTGAATCTCGATTTTCCTTCTCTCCTTGTCTTTATTGAGTGATGCTGTATTATCCTTAATATTAAGGAATCTGGTTACTTCTTCCAGTTCCATCTTTGCCTCAACAATACTTGAGTCTAGTAGAAGAACTTTATGGAGATCATTTAAACTTTTTTGGTAGTTCTGAAAGTAGAAAGGCAGAGGAAATAATTTTCATACATAAAAGGAGAAGGCGCACAAGTCAGCCGGAGGGGGAGTGAGTCATGGCTGAGCAGTGCAGAGCAGGCAGCAGGCTCCCCACAGCGCTGTGACCATCGAGCCAAGCCTCTGAGGCAAGTCTCAGGCCAGAACAGTACAATCCTTCACACAGCGAGCATCTCTACAGAAGAGTGAGCACGGGATCTGGAGTTGGAAGACTCAAGTGCAATTCTGTATTATCACAGCCTCCACCTACCCCATGGTGGCATCTGTTGCCTGCTAAATGAACCATAGAAAGAATGAACAGCCTCATCTTAGCACCCACTAACTTGGAAACCTTCACAAGATTCTACTTAACCTTACTGAGCTTCAGTTTTCTCCTCTTTAAAATACACATAAGAAAAGCCTCTCCAGAAAATACACTGGAGAGGCTGAGGTGAAAGAAAAGCAATCTAAACTTAAAACACAGACAGAATCTGGTAGCAGAAACAGATGCTACAAACTCAGAGTCCACTTGATAGGCCATATTCTAGAACTACAGACTAGACCCAAATTTGATTAATTCTGTGACAAGGTGAAGAATTCCAATGACATTAACCTCTCTAAGGATTTATGCCATATCATAACAGCATATGCTGGAGGCTGAGGCGCAGGTAAGATAAGCTTGTCAGTAGGTGACATTCCTGGAGGCCTGGCTGTAATGCCACATCCCTTCCCCCTCCACCCAGCAGCACACTAAAGCAAGAGTGGTATGTTTAAAGAGATTACCTTTTATTTTTTAAATTAGAGATTTAAGGTTATTTAAAAACTACAGTATATTATGTACTATTAGTAACAAATCTCCACATACCACTATGTCACAACAGCATAGGTGGAACATGCTACAAATAAGCAAATGACACTGTATTCTCTCCTAAGTGTTTCAGATGTGGAGCCATACTGAAAGGCAAGAAAGTGGGGCAGCAGGGAAGGTGAGAGAGTAATAATATTCTTACTGTTCTCAGTATTTTGCAATTATTATTATTTTACTTTCACAATAGTTCTGTGAGTACCAACTTTTACTGTCCCCACTTTAAAGGTGAGGAACTGAGGCATGGATACTTTGGGGGATGATCAGTTGAGGCAGCAATGACCAGAAGATGAATGGTAATACAGCTGTGGAGCTCAACTGAGATGCCTAGAAAGAGATTTTTTTTGAGCTATAGCCTTGGAAATGGAAGTCAAACACTACAGGAGTTGATAGGATTTTTTTTTTTTCACCATTTAAGAAAAGTCTGTGCCTAAAGGATAGTCTGGTTGAAAGCTACCTAAGAAAAAGGAAATACACTTTGGTAAGCATTCAAACAGAGGCAGGCAAGTGTGAGGAGGGAAGGACAGCATCCAACAGGAGGCAGTGGAAGAGGAAGGATCCACAGTGGTCAGGCAAGGTCCACTCAGCTGGACAGATGGCCACTGAATGCATCTGCATGGTTGGAGGAGGGAGCAGCATGGAGGAGAGGACAGCCATGGCCTCGTGGACGCTTACATTTAGGAAGGAAAACAATAAAAATCACAAGTATACAAAATAATAAGTGTGCCCTATCATTAATGCAATGAGGAAAACCAAGGGTTGAGTGGATACTGAAGGAGGGAGTCTCCTTTTGATGACGTGAAGAGAAACCAACCATGCAGAATGGAGGGAAGAGAAGAGCTCATACAAAGAGAAATATGGCTTTGGCACAAAGGACATTTAAGCTGCTAGAGACCTCATCAGATCCTAAAAAAAATATATATATATATATATAATCACATGTGTCTGGGATATTTAGCATTACAGATGTGTTTAAGTTATAATATCAACAATGACAAGATACTGCTCTTTTTGATATTTTTGGCCTGTAGCATGCCCAATTAGCTATAAATTTTTTATGGCAAGGACCATGTCTTATTCACCTCTCTACTCCTAAAACTTAGTACATAAGTGGCATTCAATTAAAGAATTAAATTGTAAGTAAAAGCACTGTTCAATTATTTTTTGTGAAGAACAACTGTACATTAAGGAAAGCCCTGTATTTTTCATAACTGGCACACAGAAAAAAAAAGTTAAAGCTAGCTAGGAAACAAAACATCCCAAAGATTCAAGAAAGCAGAGTGTTTAGCTAAGAACTACAGGCAGGGCATCTGCTCGCTGCGGGCCCCTGGGCCCTTCCTCATGACACTCACACTGAGCAAGTGGATCCAGGAGTAAGTTCTGAGGCATTGCACAAACATCAGAATTATACAGCCTTTGAAAATCCTGAAATTAAATCCACTTGGTACATAACTACAGGATATATAAATCAAGCCGTAATGAATCAAACCAGAAAAACAAGCTGCCAGCCTCATAATCTAGTGGGACAGGATTACTCAAATTGGGGATAATCTTTCAGCATAATACAATTTCTAGAGTTCATTCCAAGGAAGTATTATATTCTGGTCTTTCATTAGGGACACTGTAAACAAGCTCTCAGAGTCAGGTAGCAAGTATGAAGTACACCTGCTTTAAATGTCTGGACATATATAATTCATGAATCATACAGATCTACTACCCTCAAGGACCCAATGCATTAAACTCAAAGAGTTGAGTAAATTCTGAAGAAGCCTCATGTAATTCAGCATCTAGGAAATCTTTACCCGAAGTTTACAAATGTGCTGGTAACAAGGCAGGTCATGTAGGCACCATGACCAAGTGAATACAGCACAGCTGTGGACTGCCATCCCCAGGCTGGGAGGCCGGGAACACCCCCGCGCTAGAGGGGCGGGAGCTCCCTTCTAGACCTCGCCCCATGTACCTCTTCACCTGGCTTTTCATCAGTATCCTTTAAAACCACAGGGAAGGGAGGGCAGGCATGCAGCCGTGGCTCCACTGGCCCAGGGTCACGGCACAGCACCTGCACAGGTGTGGCTCTCCCGCAATCTGAGTGGATCTGTGACCTAGAAAAGCCTAATGGCTCAGTGCACACAGATTGTGCTCATTTGATATACTACGCAAAAACAACTGCCCTCTCCCAGCAAAACTTAACTTTCACAGAATATATTTTTAGGTATTTCCCTTTCAATGATAGGCATGGAATTAAAAGAACTATCTCAGACTCAGTAAGGTCAAAACCAAACTCCTTCCTCAGACCTTCCCTCCTTCATTATCACACTGCACCACTCAGCCACACAAGCCAGAAACCTGGGAGGCCCCTCCTTTGCTGCTTCCCCCATATATTTTACTGCTCTGTATGTCCTGTCAACTTTACCTTCAAACACCCTTCAATTAATCCTTCACTTTCTGTTAGGGCTGAACTGTGTTGCCCCCACCTCTGAAAATTCATGTTTGAGTCTTAACCCACAGTACCTTGGATGCAGCCACACTAACATATGTTCTTCCCTATTAAAGAGATAATCATGTTAAAATGGAGTCATTAGGGTGGACCCTAATCCAGTATGCCTGGTGACCCTATAAGGAAAGGAAATTTGGACAGAGAGATGTACAGAGGGAAGATGCACGGAAGTCACAGGGGGAAGACAGGCCTCTACAAGGCAAGGAGACGGGTCTGGAACACACCCTTCCTTCACAGGCCTCAGAAGGAGCCAGCCTGGCTGACACCTTGATCTCAGACTTCTAGCTTTCAGAACCATGAGAAAATAAATTTCTGTTGTCTAAGCCACCATCTCTCCTGCCATGTCACAGTAGCCCTAGCAAACGAATAGACCTTCTGTCTTCCCTCTGCCATCACCTTCAAGCATCTGCTTCTCACTCTGGTGGCATCTCACCTATCTCCCCACACCATGCTCGGGCCCTCTGATCCACCTTTCATACTGTCTCCAAATCTGATCCAAAATGCTGCCTTTTACCACCCTTTGGGGACTCCTATCTCATTCAGGATCAAGCCTAGCCTCCACAGCAAGGCCTCCCAGGCCCCTTATGATACAACCATCTCTCTTCATCCTCACTCCCACTCACCCCTGGCCTCCAACTGTACCAGTTCATGAACGAGTCCACAAAAAATATGCACAAGAATGTCACAGCAGCTTTATTTGTAACAGCCCCAAATTGGAAGCACCTACATATCATTAACTGATGAATATAGAAAACAAATTGTACGGCTCAGAAATAAAAAAGCAACATTAACCTATAGTGATAGAAATTAGGTAAGTAGTTGCCTGAGGGTCAGGGGGAGGTGGGATGGAAGGAGGAAGATTATGAGTAACGTGCATAAGGAACTTTCCAGAGAGATGGAAATGTTAACTTGATTGGGTGCTGGCTACTTGGGGATGTATGTTATTCAAAAGCCAATGACCAAATCAAGAAAACAATCCCATTTACAATTGCATGAAAAAGAATAAAGTACCTAGGAATAAATTTAACCAGGGAGGTGAAAGACCTGTATGCTGAAGAGTATAAGACACTGATGAAAGAAATTGAAGACAAAAAATAAATGGAAAGATGTTCCATGCTGATGGATAGGAAGAATTAATCCTATCCCTAAGCAATCCCAGAGCAATCTACAGATTCAATGCAGTCCCTATCAAAATAGCAATGGCATTTTTCACAGAAATAGAGAATCTTAAAATTTGTATGGAACCTCAAACACCCCAAAAAAGCCAGAGCAATCTTGAAAACGCTGGAAGTGTGAACATGTCCTGATTTAAAACTATATTACAAAGTAACAGTAATCACACAGTACGGTATTAGCATAAAAACACACAGATCAATGGAACCAAATAAAGACTAGAAACAAACCCATGCTTATATGATCAATTAATTTATGACAAAGGGGACAAGAATTCTCAATGGGGAAAGGACAGTCTTTTCAATAAATGATGCTGGGAAAACTGGACAACATGCAAAAGAATGAAATTATATCACTGTCTTGTACCACACACAAAAATCAATTTAAAAATGATTAAAGACTTGAATATAAAACCCAAAACCGTAAAACTCCTAGAAGAAAATAACAGGATGTAATAAAGAACTTGATGTCAGTCTTAGCAATGTTTATATGTCAATTATATCTCAATTTTTTTAAATCTTTGAAGAGAAAAATAGTCAATGAATTGAACACCTAAATGTATGAATTTCATGGTATTAGACACTAATATATTGTCTTTTTAAAAATATCATTTCAGGAAATGCCATTTTCCAGTATGTTCCAATTTTTCATGTGAGGTTATTTTCTACAAATGTGAACACTCATTCAAGTTTTCCATGCAGAAGAATGAGCACAAAGAACAGCATTATTATACAATACTTGATTTGAAAATAACAGTTTTTTTAGAGAAGACTGGCATCCTTTAGTCTCACATTGACCATCAACCAGTTTAAGGCCCAATCACCATGAGCTTCCCAATCTCTGACGTCTCTGCTGGTGAGCCCATCTTCCGTTCTGATGCCATCCTCCCACCCACAGACACCGTGATCCTCTCCTGGAGGAAACCAGTGGCACTGCTGACGGCCTTCAGTAATTCAGTAACAAATGTTCCTGTCCCTGAAAGTGGGCCTATTATAATTAACAACACTCCTTAGAACACCAGGAAATAAATCATAATGAACTGGAAGAGATCTTACAAATTATCTAGTTCCACATTATAGTTAGGGGAAGTCTGAGGCCTATTCCAACATTTCAGAAGTGGTTATCATAGAACGAGGATTAAATCCCAGGATAATCTCACTCCCATTCAGGGATCCCAACATTCATGTTCATGAAAACCACAATTTGTTCAAAGCAGAAATTTATAGTAAATGAAGATTTCCTCACCTTGAGTCCTTTATGAGCAAGAGCTCGTCTGAAGCAAGCTTTCACATTCCTGTTGTCTATCTGCAGTGCCTGATCACAGTCCTGCTTTGCCTCCTCAAACTGGCACAGTTTCAAGTAACAGAGAGCTCTGGAATAATGTAACAGAACTCGGTGTTATGAAAGGTAAAGACAACGTATCTATAAATTTAGACAGATAATAAAAATTAGAAAATTGTTCAATAAGTCTGTTTTCTATACTACAACTGTTTTAATTGAAACCTAATTATTTTATCCCAATTATGGCATTTTCTTGCAGTCCATATAATTATGGTGTTAGGAATACAACTGAAGACAAAATACAATTCAAGGAGGCTTTGGTCTAGTAGAATCGACAGACAAAACAAAGAAACACAATAGGCTCTGCACAGGATGCTCTGAGAGCACACAGCTGAGAATCTCATCAGATCTGGTGGGGCTGAGGCAAGGGCAGTAGTCAGAAAAGACTTCCTGGAAGAAGTGATATTAAAGTTTATGCCCCGAGTATGAAGTAAGCATTATACAGTGAGAAGTAAATGGGCTGAGATATAGGGAGAGGAGTGGAGGCCAAGGGCTTGGCATACGCCAAAGTCCTATGGTTGAGAGAACACAGTGCTCTTAATGGACTAAGACAAGCACCATATGGCAAGAGTGCCGGTATGAGGCTGGAAAAGCAGGCAGGCCAGATCACCAAAGGCCTTGTAAAAAACATGGTAAAGGGGTTAAGCTTTATCCTGAGCTTCATGGGAGTCCACTGATGGGTTCTGAAATAGCAGCTGACATGTTCACCTTGTTTTAGGAAGATCACTCTAGCTGCAACTTGGAGAATGAGGTGAGAGGGAACAAAACTGTAAGAACACTGTGCAGGGTGTTGCGGACGTCTAGAGGACAACTGTGGCCCAGCACTGGGAGTGGGGGTGCATGGAAAGGCTCATGCTGAAGAGGCACTTAGAAGGTAGGACACCTGTTCCTGCTCACAGACTGGGAGAGGGAGGAGCCACTCAGGGATGGTAACCAGTCATGAGTGCAGAAGGGAGAAGATGCTCAGACCCAGGGCTCTGAGACAGAGAATTGGGGAGCATAACTGGGAGGTGGTAAATGGAGCTGGGGAAAGGATGACTTGGCCCAGAGAGCATGTAGAGAAAAATAAAAAGATCTACATCTTTAGAACCCTGAAAATACCAGGAAAAGAGAAGTGTTAATTTGAATACAAAGTTTTGTTCCAGCTTTGCAGAGGGAGAGGAGAAGTGAGCAAGGCAAGTCTGCCTGCACTGCAGCCAGTGAGAGGTGGTCTCCAGGGAAAACTGGTGGCCATTAATGCCCAATCCTGGAGAGGCTTGAGCAGGAGAAGGGTAGAAAAATGACTTGGATTTAGTAACAAATTTTTTGGCAAAAAAGCTGCCAATGGAGGAAAATATTCTAAAAAAACAAAAACAAAAAGCAGTGAGAAGTTAAGCTAAACATAATTTATCTGAAATAGGCTAGGAAAACTCATGCTTAAGTCTCTGTTCATTTTTAGGAACTATAACTTTGACTGCCTACTCCCTAAAAATCCCCATATCACCATATTCTAGATAACTATCTTTTACCATAAATGATGTAAAGATGGCACTGGAACAGCATTCTAGAACAATCTGACCATTCCAACTGTACCACAAAGATGCCAGTCCTTTCCCTTAGCTCTTGAAGAGGAAAAAGGGTACTTAAGACACTAGTTTGAAAGGCAACTGATTCCTGCTCCTGCCACGGAGACAATGCTCAGCCCTGGCCAGCTGCACGGAGGTCGGATGGCAGGAAGGGTCTGAGCAGCACCAGTCAGGGCGACAGTGGCAGCTGCTGGAGCCTTAACGGACCACATCACACCAGCCAGCCCACCGCCACACATGTTCTCACTCTCTCTGGGGCCCCGATGGCCTCAAGTCTTTGAAAAATACTCAGGACAATTTGTTATGTAAATCTCAGAAAAACTGTAAAAAACTTTGGCAATTAATTAGTCTACATTTTTCAATAGAAAAAATCAACATGAGAAATTATATAGTTACAAAGAACTTACCTGTTCGTGTAGATAGCACATTGCTTGTTGTTAATGTTTAAGCATTCACTGTATTTACTGAGGGCATCTTTATAGTTTTTATCCTTTACACATTGATTTCCTTCTTCTTTAAGAATTTTAAACATTTTTTCATCTATGGCCAAAAATGGGGACATATTCATATGAGCACCTCTGCAAAGTCTTAAATATATCTAATATACCTGTAAGTAAATTCCTATTACAGATTAACTTTCCCACACACCATGCAGAGCAAAAGTCTTAACAGAACAAAATTTTGTATATAAATTAAGAAGACAAACTGGCTATAAGTAAAAATAATAATATAATCATGACACTCTTTTTTCAAATAAGAAAATAAAATACAGCTAGTTGTATTATTTTACCCATGTTTCTATGTTTTCTTCTCTCTGCTGGAAATACAAATATCCGAAGATCCATAATCCCAAGATTTATGTTCATAAAAACTACATGATTTGTTCAAATCTGAAATTTATACAGTTAAATGAAGATTCTGGTTTCAAGCCTGTTTGGTTTAATAGCTAACAAATTCATGAAAGATGAACGAACAACCCTGTTAAAACCTGAAATAGATATCTGTCCACCACCCCAAGTTTCCTTAGAATATTACACCTCCTCTATTCTCTGCTCCTGTGGTTTGGGTAAACTCTACCCTTTTGGGGTAATCTTTCTTTTATTAACCAGCACATTATATTCCTCTGGCCAGGATAACCTAAATTGGTCAGGGATAGGCCTATGAGAGCCGATTCAATTCAGCAGGATTTTTGTGGCAGTTTCTGGTAAAGTAATTCTTGTTCTTTCCCAAGGAACATGACAAGGGAAGGTGGATCTATTTTGCCATCTTGTGATGCAAGGGGAGAGTCTGTCTGACAATGGGGCCAAGAGAGCAAGAGCTAAAGGAGACTCTGAGTCCTGAACCCAGCCTTGCGGCTACTCTATCTGGGTGAGTTATCCGTGGTAGGAGCCAATAAACAACTTTTTTGCTTAAGCCATTAAGGGTTGGGTTTTCTGTCATCTGCAATCAGTCTGAACTATTACTATCACCCATCATCTTGCAGTGATCATGGCTGACTCCCTGCTCAGGACACATTTTCCCCTTCCTAAGGGCATCCTGATACTTACTCAGCTATCACCCCTTTCATATTCAGCCCATGTGTTCGGAGGAAGGTTTCCCCACTGATGAGGAATCTAGGCCTAAGTCAGTCAGGGTATTGCATTTCTTCATCATAGGGACTGGTTCAGGAATGGGCACATGACCCATTAGAAAAAGGTACCAACAGAGTTTGAGCCAAAAGAAAAACAGAATAAAAAATCTAGGGCTTTGGAGCAACACATTTCCTCACTGTTAAATCAGGGCAACCAAAAGCAATGGGTGTGTCTCTCGCTTTGGCCATTGGTGTGTGCAGACATGGGGCCTACAACTGCTCTGGTTCCGTTGTTTCCCACCAGAGCCTGAGCCCTGATGAGCTGCGCCTGATTTTACAGCCTGCCTGGGCCCTTTCAGTTATGTGATCCAAAACCATTCCTTACGATTTAAGTCAGCAGATTTTTTGTAACATGCAACCAAAGATTTTTAATACACATAAAAGTATTAAAATTTAATGATTGAATATGGAGTAGCCTGAAATAAAATTCAAATTTATAACTTAAAATTTAAAATTTATACCTTTGAATTTGCCATCTGAAAATCTTGATGTACTGAATTTATAGTGTAAGCTTAGAATATAAGCAATTATCTTATTTGTCCTTCTGCACAAATGGCATGAGATTAATTTTCCATCTTTTACTGTAAATCACAAATATTTCTACCTAATGTTTCATGTTTCAAAAGATCTCACACAATGGGACCAAATGACACTCCCCATAAATCCTGTTGTGTAAGTCCTGAAACAGAGTATTACGAGGACTTTTTCCCCCCAAACTTGCTGAAAACTTTCCTCAAGCTCTTCTTCCCTCAATGTCTTTAAGCCTTTGGCACTCATTCTCATTAATAATCAGTATATAAATATGAACACAAAGAGCAGGATCTACTTGTGCTTAGGATTTCCTTAGTATATGTACTTTGTTAATAATAAATAGCTCCCCTTTATTCAGCAAATGCCTTGTGCCAGGTCCCATTAATAAGGGACTCTGGAAAACTAGAACTCTCCATGATTTGCCTAGACAGCTACATCATCTAAAAGCCTTGGTCAACGTTCCCTGCATCGCCTTTCTAGGCAATGAAGAAGATGAGAGTCTAACATAAGCTACTGGGACATCACAGCTCAGGAATGTCAGGGTGTCTGCAAAATGAAGTTCAGTCGAGGACACACACGAGTTCCTATTCAGGCAGGAGAAATGGGACCTCAACTGGCTTTCAAGCAGAAAGCAAGAGTGAAGTCACATTTATTAAATACTCCACACAAGGCAATGAGGTAGGCCCTATAAGAATGCAGATATATTAACAGCTATGATATAATGCAGAAGGGGGTACCTACTAGATATTTATGTTGTAGGGTTTTGCTTGTCTTATTATTTCAAATACATTAATCTTATTACTTTAGCCTTGCCACATACATGATGAAGAGAACTATATGTTAACTTCTTTTACCTCTAATAATAATGCTAATTAACCTTTATTAAGAGACTCCTATAAGCGTACCTGGTCAGCACATGTGCTGAGTATTTTACATGCATACTTCTATTTATTCCTGAGAAAACTCCATGAGACAGTTTTTCACATTTTCCCCTTTCATATAGACTAGGACACTGGAGGTGTGAAGTGACTTCATAAGAATCGGTGGTCAGAAAGAGGGAGAACAGGGTCTTAACTGAAACCCAGTACTGATGTCTGAGTTCATGCCCCTATCCTTCTGCCTCACTGAAAATACAGACATGGCTCAAGGTGCCCCTCAGAATAAATGAGTGTAGGCTTCGCTTCCCCCACCTGTGGTGCCTTCTTGGTGGTGGCTGCAGGCATCTCCCACTTGTTCTGGGGGTGTCTCTGCTGTAGGCTGCCAAGCCCGCAGCTGCACAGAAGAGGGCACAGCAGGAATGGGCAACAGCTTCTCCCTCCAGCTTGGTCCATCCAGATCCATTAAAATTCTTGTTATTCTAAAATGAAAATGTTTTCTCTATTGATCAGGTAATGCGCTTTTAAAAAGATCTTATCAATAGTAAGATTTCCAAATGCTATGCATTTGTATATTCCCCTGCAGAAAACACAGTCTTGAGCTATTTGCTGTCCACATAAGCTGTCTTCAAAATGCCTTACGAAAGTTGCCAAAACCTATGTAACTCTAAATCCTTTTCATATCAAAAGAAAAACTTAAGAGATTTCAAACTCGTTAAAATTTTTCTTTTAATATATATGCAATAAAGTTTCAATTTTTAAAGAAGTGAAATATAAAACTAAAATTTTGGAGGCCTAGAAGAAATGTCCTGCATAACATTTAATACAGTTACTAAATTGATAATGTATCACTCCTGAGACAATCAGAAGTGCTTCAGAATTTTGATGCCTAAACTGTATACTAAAGACAGGGTGTACAAGACTGGCTGTTCAATCTGATGAGGACTAGCTGTCACATGGAACACTGCTTTTTCTTAAAATATTTACATGTGGTTAAGACACTCTTACCTTGTATTTTCTTTCTCTCTAAAATTAACCACATATTTTTTTCACATATGCCCAAAGATGAAAGAACAGGATATTGGAGTTGACGATGAGGGCCCTTGTACTCCTGACATTAACTGATGGCCATCATTAAAATCCAGATTCACATCCTTGATTATCACTTTCTAATCATTTTAAACATATAAAATATCAAACTTAGATTTAAAAACAAAATTGAATTATGTCTTTGGGATGAAACTGGTTTAGAAACAGCTCCCCAAGATTGAGGTTTATCAGTAATTAGTAGAACACACTGGAGTTGACTCAGTAGTACGTTTTATGTGAAATTTTTTTGTATTTATATGGAGACAAAGATAATACACATACTCCCCCTACAGTTTCTCAAACTGAAATTTCAATAGTGATTGTTATGAAAACCAAATTTCATACATTTTAGTGTGAAAAATAAATTTGAAAAGTAATGTATAACCACTCAAAACTGCAGAAGAAAATAAAGCTTTAGGAAAAAGAATTTTCAAGCAAAACTTTCATTACCAGCAGAGAGGAAGTGGCTGAAAAGAGATGTGTTGCCAGGGAGAAAATAAGCATATGCAGGGGAATTTAATATATACAGATTCCTGGAGAGGAAGAGAGGAATATGGTTAATGGAAGAAAGAAACAAAATAAGCACAGATGTTTCACTTGTCTTGTTTAGGTGGAAAAGCAAGCATAAATGTGGGATTCATAAAAAGAAACAGCGAAACTTTAAAAATGGATATTTTATAGAAAAATCTATATGGCAACGCCAAAGCTTCCTCATCTTCTTATACAACAATATATCAGTAAGAATCACTCATAAAAAAAAGTCTTAACAATCAATTTATATAAAAGAAGCTTCCTGAGTACATATAAAAGGTGTAACACAATCCTTAAAAGCTAAATGTAGAATTATCATATGGTCCCACAATTCCACTCCCAGGTACACCCCAAGAGGGTATCCCAGAAGAGCCTGAAATAGGTATGCACACCCAAACTCATACATGGATGTTCACAACAGCATTACTCACAACAGCCAAAGTGAAAACAACCCAAATGTCCCTCAGGAAGAGTGGGTAAACAAAATGTGATGTATACATACAACAGAAAATTATTCAGCCATAAAAAGAAATGAAGTACTCGCACATGCTATACCAGAGGTGAGCCTTGAAAACACTGTGTGTGCTAAGTGAAAGAAACCAAACTCAAAAGGCACATGGCTCTATGATTCCACTTACACGGAATATCCATAACAAGTAAGCCCACAGACGGGCGGGTGCCGGGGCTGGGGAGGGAGAACGGGGAGAGGCTGCTCACGGGGACAGTTCCCTGCTGGGGGTGAAATGTTTTGGAAGTAGACAGAGCTGGTTCGCACACTATGAATGTACTACAGGTCACTCAGTTGTACCCTTTACTTAACTTTATATTTATATAAACTTGAAGTTTACTTCAAGTTTTTAAAAAAGTGTAACACAGAAGACTCAGAAATGTGAGTAACCACAGTCTCTCCAATCTATGTATCTCCCTTCAGACCTCAGCCTAGTGCTATGAACTAGACTTCCTAAAACACCTTTCCAACAGGCCCTGCCTCACTGTCAGATGCTTCAGTTGTCTCCCTGCTGTTTCAAGAGAGCCCCTAAATGCGAGAAGATCCTGCTTTCCCCAACTATTTCAGAGACCACTGGACAGAGGAAGGGCGAATTACAAGCGGAGCCCCGAACAGAGAAGTGAACTATACTTTCTGCTGGAGAATGCAGCCATTCAACACATTTTTACTGAGGATATCTACGAGACAAGGTACTGCAACTACAAAGATGGATAAAACACAATCCCTGACCTCAAGGAACTCCTTGTAGAATAAGAGAAAAAGAATTTTATAGAAAGAGAGGGACAGAGATCTGCGAACAACATAGACACTGGGTATTAATGAAGGCAGAGGGCTGGGACATGGGTGGCGGAGCCGAAAGCACATGCAGGCTGGGGAGACGGGTGGTCAGGGAAAGCTGTTTCCTACAGGAAGCAAGTCCTCTCCTCAAGGATGAGAGGAATGAACCACACAGAAAGGGGGAAGGGCCTTCAGGCACACTGGAGGCAGCAGCAGATGCCATGCAGCGGGGCAGCTGGGCGGCAGGGCAAATGGCTTAGAGAGCTCCCAGGTGGCACTGCCTGATTTTACAAGCCCAAGATCTCAGAGGCGATGAATGCCCACGGTTCCATCTAGTCCCACTCCAGAGACAATAACCAATGGATGACTTTGTCTTTCAGTCAGGCTGGGATCAAAGAGGTTCTGTGTGACCCAGAGTGGAAGTCTGAGTGGGAGACAGGAATGGCTGTTGGCCATACATATAGATCTTTCCAACAGGTTTCTCCAACATGCAGTGGGACCACATGGAGAAGTAAGGCATGATTTTAAAAAAAAGAATCTAAAACATGTCATTCTCATTTTCTACAGTTTTACTTAAGGCCACCTCATGCTCTACCAGTGTCCTTCAAAGACCACGTCAAGCGCTCTCTCTCCAACGACTGTAGCCCACGCAGCAAAGGTGGCCTGACCTCTCTGTGATTCCCCTCCCTTACTAACAAGTCTCCACATTTGGGGAAAATCTGTCTCCTGTTAAGTTTTTCCCCCTAGCTATATTCTAGTTTGCTTAAAGACAGAGATGATCATTTTTTTCCCTTTTTGGGGGCAGTGGGACATGGTACCCTAGACCACACAGGGCACAGTGTAACACACAAATACTTAAAAAGTTATACCGTGGACAAATGGGATTAGACAATATTATACATAACTAGAAATGTTATCCAACTAGCAGTTTTCAAATTTCATCTGAAAGTAATATATGAAGTCTGGAAATATTCTTACCTTAACCATTCTCACTCAGGGGGTAAACATAAGTCATAATATAAATTAGATCCAAATTCTTTGCTATTTCAGCATTATAAATTAATACTCATCCTAGATGAGTGTCTATTTAAAGGGCATATAACACAAATATCTAGCAGGCTCATGGAGACATCCATTCTCCTGAGGAGAAAGAACAGATATGTTTATAACACACAAATACTTAAAAAGTTATACCGTGGACAAATGGGATTAGACAATATTATACATAACTAGAAATGTTATCCAACTAGCAGTTTTCAAATTTCATCTGAAAGTAATATATGAAGTCTGGAAATATTCTTACCTTAACCATTCTCACTCAGGGGGTAAACATAAGTCATAATATAAATTAGATCCAAATTCTTTGCTATTTCAGCATTATAAATTAATACTCATCCTAGATGAGTGTCTATTTAAAGGGCATATAACACAAATATCTAGCAGGCTCATGGAGACATCCATTCTCCTGAGGAGAAAGAACAGATATGTTTCCACTGACAGATGTGGTGCCAATGAACATGTGCAAATCCTGTAGGAGAAGAAGATTTAACATGGCAGTTTTCGCTACAGGTTTGGGTCTTGTCCTATAATTACTACTGAATCATGACATTACTGAAAACACCTTCCTAATCCCGCAGATATTTACAAATACTAAAAATAAATTCTGCACATTTTGCATTACAAAAAGCTAAACCTTGTGCTCTTAAAAAAGAAAGAATATTCACTGAACAGTATAAATGGATCAGAAAACAAATACAAAGGTATTAGAGGACAAAATGTATTATAGGATAGTTAGGAATTAAGTTAGAATGATTTGGTTTTGATGGAGTGAAAGAAGGCAATCATTCATGTAGAGTAAGCAACAGAGAACGCATATGCACTGTGGTATCATTCTTGAAGGAAGGGGGAAAAAGATCTAATTCTGTTATAAAACAACTAGCCCTTAGGTAGTGGCCTCAGATCAGGTTACCTGTTAATACTGTCATTTGCTAGCTGGATTCCACAGTCTATTTGCAACACTGTTTTATAATCCACATAAGCTTTCTGATACTGCTCTAAAGTTTCAGAGGCCATTGCTCGTCGAAGAAGAGGTTTGATTGAGAATGGATGAAGTTCCAGAGCCCTAAAGAAGACAAAAATATTATAGGTCACTTGTTTTGAATATTACTCTTTAACTTTTACTAAGTGAATGTATACTGCAGTGCTGGACTCTCAAATTCATACACAGCTGATATTTCCTCTTGGGGGCCTGGCAACATACTAGGAAGACAAACCCAGAGGAGCACTGCAATCAAATCTCTGGTTATTTCCTTTCTTTTAAACCAGTACCAAAGCACTTTGGCATTTTCTCCTTCTCACCCTGAGACTGGGCTCCCTGGCAGCAGGCAGTGGACCTCACCCTCCCCTATGCCCTACCAGAGCTCACCATGGCACCAGGCACAGAGCTGGCTTTCAACAGATTCTAGTTATTGATGGATTAAAAGGAAAAATTTTATTTGCACCTATGTATTTAATAAGAAACCTTAACATAGAATCACAAAAACTTGCATTACATTTCGAAAATCAGCTCTGTAAAACTTAATACCAGTTTACTATGATTTACTTGTTGCCAAAAGGCTTCAAAACAGACCATGGGGAATCAAGGAAACAAGCATACAATGATTTCTTGCAAGTCAAGAATTTTCATCTTGCACTTTTTAATCTACAAATTATTTCCGGTATCACCAGAGATGTACTTGATTGTTATGTTCCTTGAATTAGTTTGAAGTAACTGTTTAAAGTTACTTCACTATTTAATGTGTTTCATTATATTCTGAAATAAAGCATACAAAAGAAATAATCAAAACATTATAGTCATGAGTGAAGACTACTGAACCCTCAGTTTTAACAAAATGAACTGAAACTGTGAAATGCAGAGGTCCTATGAAGTGTTCTTTCTATATAGTCCACTAATGAGCATCTACACCAGACTGCCCACACTGGGAATATCACATATGCTCTTCTGGTTAAGTCTTATGCTACAAGCAGCTTACATATCAGATACTTAACTTGCTGGAGTGAAAGCGTGAGCAAGGGCCACTTTACTTTTTCCGCACCAGTCTTGGAGATGTGTTTCCTATTGCTGTCTGCAGCGATCTGCCGAGGAGGCACTCTGATACAACCCTTGCCACGGGCTCGTCACAGCGGCCGTTCTCACTGAATCACGCAAGACTGTGAGGTCAACTGGTAATGTGTTCATTTTGCAGGTGAGGAAATGGTGAGACACATGGAACGGTCTGCCCAAGTCAATTCTTTTGCATTTAAGCTTCAGGAAGGCAAGGGCATTACCTGTCTTGAGCACCACTACATTTTCCCAGGGCTTAGATCAATGCTGAGGCCATGTGAGGCACTCAGCAGACACCTCCTGAATGAACCTTCAGAGCCTACACTCTTTCTTCCACAAACACAAATGAAAACACTACAAACTTGGGAGTCTTTTGCCACTCGGACTTCTTCACAATTCTCCACATTGTACAGCTACTCAACTGCATGTGGGGGTATGCTCTTGGACAATGTACCACAGAAGCTGTTCAAGAAATGTCATTATACCTAATTAGCTTCATTTTTCTGAAAAATAACCAATTTTTCTCTGCTTAGGTGCTAGGTTTTGGTGATTTTAATGATCTCCCTTGTGCTATACTCGGTTTTAACATTTTTTTCTGTAATAGATACGTGTAACTTTTTTTAACCAGTAAAAGTTATTTTAAAAAATAAAATTAAAATCAAGTAAAAACATTTACACACTGGAAAACATATTTCTAGGCTTCAGGACCTATCTATCACCTGTAACAATGCATTAAATCTAGTTTAGTTGAATTCTTAAGGGATATTAACAACACAGAGATTGTAAATATGTCACAGCCACATGACTAACTGATTCACCACAGACTTCCAACATCTAAGGTGCTGTTTTATTTATCCACTCAAGAAGGACTAAAGTAGGTGAGGAATCTAAAATTGAGTGAGATGATTCGTTTAATTTTTACCACTCCTAAGCCTAGAAATGCAAGTTTTTTCTCTTTAACCACAATCCTGAAAATGAATATGAGCTTATGAATGGAAAGTCTATAAAAAAAGGGGGAAAAAGCATGTACTCCTAAAAACAGACACAGAGCACTTTTAAACCAGAGCTTACAAAACCCAACTAACTCAAGCTAGTTTAGACCCTAAAGAGTCATCTAATTTCAAGTGTGTCAGACAGCAGCAAAGATGAACAAATGTAGAGAATAACAAGGCGACATTAATTTGTACTGAGTCTGTCAAAATATCCTCAGTGGAAAGTCACTGAGAGATTTTTGGTGTGGTTTAGAAAACCAGAAAGGTTCTCTGACAGATGGGAAAAAAAGATTCTTTTTTACCTTATTAAAACTATGAGAATAAAAAGTAGTTTCTAGGATAATAGTTTTAAATGGAAGCCTAAAATAGAAACATGAAGATGTAGTGGGGAGGAGGGGACAGGTCTGGGGACCCCTTGAGTTCCTCACACTTTCCTTAAGCTCCCAGCACGATTCTCTCAATACACCCTTGGGAAACACCTCAGAACAAGTGCTTCCAAGCAGGCCCCAGGAGGTCAGACACTTAAAATCAAACACATTTTCCCCCAAATGCATAGGAAGTTATTTTCATAGGTCCTGCCCCACTTCCTCCTATTTTAAATTTTGCCCCCATGAGTTTTTTTCTTTTTCAATGTTTTGACACCTGCTACCACTTATCTTATAGTAAGGGCCTCATGGAACACGAAACAATTCTCTAAGGAGCAAAGAGAACTGAAAAACTAAAAAACAGATTTCCTTTAAAATGTACACAGTCTTTTTGTGGAGAGAAAATATAGTCACATTTCTGCTAATAAGTGATTCCTTCTTCATACAGATTTAAATATGTCTATATTTCAACAATGTTCACAAAAGTAAATCATGGTCTTTAAAAAGTGAGTTTTGCAAATCATTGCTTTGGAGTAACATCACCCCATGCCTCTTATGCTGGGATTCATATGCCAGTCATCAATTAAAACATCTAAGTAGATCAATCTCTGTCCAAGTCAGTACGGACCAGCAGAGCTGGATTCCTTGACCTAGAACACAGGTCTTACATAAGGGCAGTTTACCTAAACCACCACCCACATCCCTCCCCTGCAGGCCATTTCCTGCTCTCCCCAACAAGACAATCTCTGTTCCCGCTTCCCTGGACACCCGGGCTGGAGACCCATTTGACTTCCTCCTTGGTCTACACTAAAACACAACGAATTTTAGCAAATTTTGCCTTAAATAATTTCACTTAAGGACTAAATTAATCCACTGCTTTGCAGTAGACTTAAGTGTCGAAGTCCCAAATTTTAACTAGAATCCTAACGCTCCCTGTAGAAATACCTAAGACAAGTCTGAAGAGTGTTTAACAACAGACACTTGAGCTGAAAAGTTCTGGGCTGCAAATCACAACTTACCTAATACTCCACAAATTCATGTAGTCTTGTCAGTTAGTTATGGACAATGATAAAAGTTTAACCAGCTCTCCTGTGAGAAAAGCCCAGGTTTGTGGCATCTGCCAGTTTTCATGCTATTAGTACTCCAACATGCCAGATTTCAAGCTACGAATTTGATTTCCACCAGCCTACAAAATCCTGAAAATGCAGCAATTAGCTAGTGTGAGCTAGCACAACAGTGGACAGGGTCTACAATCCAGCCAAAGTGAACAACTGTATTATTTATTTTAAATTTGAATATGTCAAATTGGCAAAAAGTCCAAGTGCTTCAAGGCCTTGTTTTTAAATTTTAGGCATAGGTATTAGGAAAATTTGAATCCATATCAATAAACTGATTATGCCTATGAGAAAAATAATCAGGTTGTCTACATAAGTTAGTGTTCAAACTAGGGTTTCTGAGAGGGAAAGGGGGTGATACTAATAATTAGACCAAACACCAGGAGTAACCAAGACTGGGAAGGTCAAATCAGCACATACAACTTATTTTGCAGATGCACCAACAGTAGCTTCTTTCCAGGAGACTTCTGAAGCAGGAGTATTACTTAATGGTAAAAGAAAACAATCTTTTGTTTTTATTCATGTAAATATATGCATCCATCTCAGGACATAGCTTATTGAGTACCACAGGTGACTATTGTGCCTGAGGGATGCAAAGCTGTATAAAACATGTTCCTGATCTCATAGAGCTTAAAATCCCATGAGGTGGATGACACCAATACTTACAGGTGTGAGAGTGCCAGCACCAGTGTTACAGCTGGCAAATGACCAGAGAGTTTGAGGTGATCTGGAAGGGCAGCTGAGCAGGTGTTTCAGAAAGAAGTAAAGATGTGCAGAGGGCCTTACAGACAGTGCACCCACTGGGAGCAGAGAGCTCATTCTGGAGGCACTGTGGTGACAGTTTTTAATATTCATGAGTGTGTAATTATCTGGAAGACCATATCAAGCCATTGAATACCTGTTTGAAACAGTCTGGACATAATAATGCTTCAGGAAAAATAATTCTTATGTACAGTGGATTGGACGAGGCAGAGAGACTAGTTAGGCGGCTTCTCCAGTAGCCTAGGATTGATGTGAAAAGGGCGTGAACTTTAGGTGATTAGCAGTCAAAATGAAGAGAGATTGTACAGTCTTCTGTAACTGTCTTCATGCATGTGAAAGAGGAGAATTTGTGTTTTTTTAGGTATTAACTAACATACCTTAAAAGTGTGTTGAAAAATACTCTTACGCAGAAAATTTAGAAAGATATTAAACATCGCATTCAGCGCATTAAAATAACCATCTCTTGACAAACCTGAAAAGGGGCAGTTTACCTGTTACAATCTTGAATGCATCCACTGCAGTTTCCTTCTTTTAGGTAACATGCTGCTCTATTTGAATATAAGATACTCAGATCATCTGCACTTCCACTTCCTAAAATCACATTTAATTAGATACTGTTAAAATCCATTAGCAAAATCACAGGTCACCAGAATTACAAGCAATTGAGGTCTCCAATGACAATGCAGTCCTGCAGACTGCTGAGAATGCAGAGCTCCAAGCTGTCTGTGCCCGCAAGGGCCACAAAGGGAAAGCCTTTAAACGACACACACAAACACGCCTGGCCCGGGCACATGCTACGCATTCCAAGGAACTGCTCACGCAGGTCAGGTCACACACCGTCCCCAGTCACCAGGAAGGAACGTACGTGCGCAGGCGCCTGTGGTTCAGGAGGTGGCCTGCGCCTCTCCTGCGGTGGTGTGCGTCCTGTGAGCCACAGCGCCCGGGGTCTGGAGCCCGAGGGGCGCCGCCCACCTACCTGCAGGCTCCAGCTGTGCGATCGCCGCCGAGTACTTGAGGGCCGCCTCCGAGAACTGCCCGGTTTTGAAGAGCTCGTTGCCCCGGCTCTTCAGGCCGGCGGGGCCCAGCGGCAGGGCGCCGGGCTCGGGAGGCGCGCGGGCGGCAGCGGGGTCCCCGGCGCCGCCTCCGCAGCCCTGGTGTCCGAGGGCACTGCCCGCCGCCGCCGAGGCCCGCGCCCGGCCCCGCCTGTCCGTGCGGGCCCCTGGCGCCCGCGCCCGCCGCGGCGCGCCCCGCTCCGGCCGCCTGCCGCCCTCGCCTTTGCCGGTCAGCTTCTTCTGGATGTTGCCCATGGCGCGCGGCCCGGTGGCGCCGCCGGCTCCTGCCGGCTCTGGGGCCTCTGTGGGGAGCGGATGCGGGAAGTGAGCGTTTGCATCGCCGGGAGCCGGCGCAGGGGCGACCGCCGCTCCCAGAGGCGGGTTCGAGCGGACGCCGGGCGGGCACCGCCCCCGCGGGCGGAGCCGGGCGGCTCCCTGCGCTCCGGGGGCGCGTCCTCCCCGCGGGGTTCACCGCAGAGCCGAGACCGCCAGTGCCCGCGCTTCCCCGGCTTCGGATGGACGCCAACCAGCCCGTATTTAACTACATGCGGAAGAGCTTGTGACGTGAAAATGGGCATTTCAAAATCATCCCCTTCATCAAGGTATATGCGTCGAGGTAGATCTTACAAAATGCGTACTTAAAAAAAAAAAAAAGCAACACGTACTTTTTTCCCCGCTTCCACTTACAACTTAGGAACTAGTGAGGTTACCAAAACTTGGTTACAATAATTGCACCCAAGATTAGGGTACCCTTTCCTTAGGTTACAGGACTGGGCGAAAAAGATAATGTGAAAGAAAAATAAATTCCAAGTGATTTTTAAGTCATTATCAAGGAAGTACATGAAGTAAACACCTAGGTCTTAGAGTGAGCCTTACTTAAAAAGACAGTAAAATTTTTATTGCAATGCCTTATTCGAACTTAAAAATTCCTCTGATCTTGACTGAAAGATTTTTATATTAATTATAGCTTCAATAATTGAATCTATTATTTTTAAATATGAAAGTAATGTATAAATATTTCATTAATGGGTGGCTTGTCAAACAAAGCAATTCATCACTTCAAAGCACTGTCAAAAAGCATTTAAGTACAGACTTCCAAGCTTTCTCTTTTAACACATTTTAATCTGAGTTTTAATGTATATATTTTCCATTCTGTTTAATGAATAGTAAAGACAGAGGGAATTTCATACTATTAGAACTTAATATGGGTCAAGACCTTTACACACATTATAATTTTTGAATATTATTAAGCCTCATATCAAGTATTATCATCCCACTTTACAAACGAGGCAACAGAGACACAGGAAGAAGCTAAGGAATTTGCTCAAGTACAGAGAATTAGGAATCAGCCTAACTGGGATTCAAATGCAGTGAGCTGAAATGGATTGAATGCAAAGCCATACCTCTTTCCTTAAGATTGAAATGTCGCTGAACAACTTTGCCAGGCTCTACAAAGGTAAGCTGAGGCCCAAACATGAAAGACCGGTGAGTCCCTTTGGTATTGTGCTACCTGCGGGGCATTCCAGCGGAGTTGCTCAGGAGGTGGCTCCAAGTGCAGATCAAAGGAGTGCCCCTATCTAGAGACAGTGACGTGGGTGGGAGCGGCCGGCATATAAAGGATCATTGAAATTTGGGTGTGATTAGGATCACTCAGATCTTCCAAAGGATACCTGAGAAATACTGAGGCAAAGCAGGGACATGGGATAAGCATTATGATTAATTTTTCCTGCTTATGATGAAAAATGCCAGGATATAAATAGTGTACCAAGAACAGGAGGGACTTCATTACAAGGCTAAGAGTCTACGTTAAAACCAGGGAGTCAGGAGGTAAGATTCCTAACATTTTATGGTGATTAGCCAAAAAACTACCTTGTCTTAAGGCAGGGCAAGCCTTCCTGAAGCATATGTCACCACTGCTTGAGGGTATCCACTATCTTGGAGAAAAACAGGATTGATACTCCTTGTGTTAAGTTTATCTTACAGAATATCTAGAGGACTGACTGTAGATGATGACATAATGTATCTCACTGGAAACAGACATCCTGAGAGATCACATGTCAGACTATGCTCCCTTGGACCTTTACCCTATTCTTAAAATCCTTAAAAGACATGAATCCTAAGCCTTTAAGTGCACCTCCTCTCAGGCTGCCTGCACTCCCCTTTCTTCAAGTGTGTACTTTGTCTTAAATAAAGTCTTATCGCTACTCAAATTACTGCATTTTGTCTCCATGCTCCTCAAAGCCTCTCAGGAGATTAATAAGAGGCCTCTTTTCCCAGTGTAAGCATCTTTGTCAGTTAGCTATTTCATTCAATATTCTAGACATAAGCACAATTCTCTACTCTCTCTGTCCTACTTCAGACAAGTAGGAAAGGACTACTAAGATCTCTGACTTGGGCTTGCAAGTTCCTGTCACCTGGGTCGACCAGACGGGACTGCAGCTCTACAATTGTGCTCTTTATAACCTGCCTGAATATCTTCTTTCTTTTATTTGGGGAAGTTCTCAGAACATAATCTTGAGTTCTCCAGTGCTCCATGGCTCCCCCAAACACTGGGGTTAGGGGCTTAGTTCCCACACCATGCAGACTCAAGCAGATACTGGATGCCAGGTGGCCCTGGCTTCAGGAGTTAGCAAGGGATTTGCCTTGTGCAGAGCTGGAATTCAATGAACTTTCCTTTCCTCTGTTCTTCCTTGCCCTCTACTGCCTGCATGGCTGCTGCCACTCACTATTACTCTTGCTTTAATGAATTCCTTTCTTGTTGGCATTGTTCAACATGATTGAGAATTCTTTCCTGATCAGAGTCAAGAACCCTCTCCCACCCAGGCTGAGGTTTCACCTAGTGCACAGGGAGAGACCTTCCCAGACGCAGCTGCCCAGCAATAATACTAACACTTAAAGGATCAGAGGAAGAATCTCCAGCAGAGTGGGAATACCTAGAAATGACAAAAACAAAAAAACAAAACTAGGAGAGTGTACTGCCTCAGAAACCAAGAAAAAAGAGTATTTCAGGGAGAAAGAAGTCAACAATAACAAATATCAAAGGAAGGAATGGCCAACAGTGTCAACTGCACAAGGACTAAAGAGAACCATTAGATCTAACAACCACAAAGACATTGGACACCTCAGGTCGGATAGTTTGCCTAGCTGGTAGACGCAAAAATCCTCCACAGATACTAGCAAAACCAAATCCAACAGCATATTAAAAGTATTATACACCATGACCAACTGAGATTTATCTCAGGAATGGAAGAGTAGTTCAACAGTAGAAAATCAATCTGTGCAACATAGCCCATTAATAGGACAAGGGGAAAACCACATGATCATAACTGACACTGAAAAGGCATTTGATAAAATCCAATACCTTTTCATGATGAAAATGTAGAAAACTAGGAACAGAGTTAAATTTCTCAACATGACAAAGTACATTTATCTCAGAGCTAGCATCATACTAAAAGCTTTCTCCTGAAGATGAGAAATAAGACAAAGATGTCATCTTCACTGCAGTTATTCAACATTGTACTGGAAGTTGCAGCCTGATAAACTAGACAAGAAAAATAAATAAAAGGCATCCATCGTGAAAAGGAAGAAGTAAAACTATCTCTATTCATAGATGACATGATTATATATAGGTACATTCCTTGGGATTATATAATCCCAAAGAATTCTGTATCTAAATATTTTTCCCCTAAGAATACACACACACACACACACACATGTACTGGAAGTTGCAGCCTGATAAACTAGACAAGAAAAATAAATAAAAGGCATCCATCGTGAAAAGGAAGAAGTAAAACTATCTCTATTCATAGATGACATGATTATATATAGGTACATTCCTTGGGATTATATAATCCCAAAGAATTCTGTATCTAAATATTTTTCCCCTAAGAATACACACACACACACACACACACACGCACATACCACTACTAGAGCTAATGAGCAAATACAGCAAAGTTTCAGGATACAAGATTCATATACAAAAACCAGTTGTTTCTACATGCTAGAAATTACCAATCTAAAAAGGAAATTACAAAAACAATTCCACTTATACCAGCATCAAAAGGAATAAAGTATTTAGGAATAAATTTAACCAAGGAGGTAAAAGGCTTGTACACTGAAAACTACATTGCTGAAAGAAATTAAATAAATTGGAAGGTACCTTTTGATCATGCACATGAAGACTTATATTAAGATATCAATACTATGCAAAGCAATCTAGAGATTCAACATAATCTCTATCAAAATTCTATAATCTTTTTTTGCAAAAAGGGGAAAGCTCATCCTCAAATTCAAATGGAGTTGCAAGGGGCTCAGAATAGCCAAAACAATCTTGAAAAAGAAAAACAAAATCAAAATACTCATACTTTCAGTTTTTAAACTTACTAAAAGCTACAGTAATCAAACAATATGCCACTGGCATATAGACATATAGACCAATGGAGTAGAATTGAGAGTCCAGAAATAAACCTATATGTCTACTGCCAACTAATTTTTGACAAGGGTGTTAAGCCATTCAAAGAGGAAAGAGTAGACTCTTTAACAATGGTGTTTGGACAACTGGATTTCCACATGCCAAAAAACTTTTTTTTAATGAAAAGGAAAGCTAAGTTGGACTCCTTTCTACCTCAATTAATCAACAAATCAATGACTTAAATATGAGAGTTAAAACTATAAAACTCATAAGAAAACATAGGGGTAAATCTACATGACCTTGGCTGTGACAACAGATTTTTAAGTATGATACAAAAGGCACAAGCAACAAGGGGAGCCAACATGGTGGCATGAGTAGGACAGTGGGAATCTCCTCCCAAAAACATATATATTTTTGAAAATACAACAAATACAACTAATCCTAAAAGAGAGACCAGAAGACACAGGACAACAGCCAGACTACATCCACATATGTGAGAGCCCAGCACCTAGTGAAAGGGGTAAGATACAACCCCCGGCCTGGCGGGACTCGAGCACGCCTCCCCCCAGCTCCTGGCGGGAGGGAGAGGGAGCCCAGGACTGCTAAACACCCAGCCCCGGCCACGTGCACCAGAGTGCAGAAACAGTGCATGCATGGAGGGCTGGAAACTAGGGAAACAGGGCAGCAAGACCTCTGAGCAGGTTCCGAAGCTGATGCCCCTGTGACAAAGAAAAGCGAGTGCTTTTTGAAAGTCTTAAAGGGACAGGGACATAACAGCTGGATGGAAACACAGGTCACAGCCCAGTGGCTGGAAATTACAGGGAAAACCAGGCGCACTAACCCCCTGGGCAACAGCTCTGAGACCCCTCACGGAGGTAAAGAGCCAAA